GTACCCATCTGGAATCAGACAGCCGTTGTAACATGAGCCTTAGTGAAGTGGCAGCTGTCTGTGCTGTGTGCTAGAAAAGCATATTTATCCCAGCATAAAAATTGTCATGCACAGTAGATGAACTATTTTAATGTTACTGCTTTCCAATATCCACATTTAAATCCCAAACAACTTTGTTGAAAAGCTCTGAGACAAGTCCATGCTCTGTCTCCAAGATTACCTTCAGAAAGGGAGAGATGTATACATTCTAAATTTTGGAGGAGCAGTGCTGCATAGCAGAACAAAGCAGTACAAAGGAGATTTTGAAAAGAGATGTGTTCTGGTATCATGAAAACAGGACCATGTCATAAGTTTCTAGAAACTTTATTGCTTTTACAGGAAGGTAGTGGTGCAGTTCGACTTTTTGTGAGGTGGAGAACATACCTACAATATGCAGACAGAAGACCTAGAGAATGCTTAATTATAATTTTCAAGAAATTTGACTTCTATTTACAGATGGAGTGACATGATTTATAAAAAGTAGGTCCAGCAGTTCATTTCTCCTTTATTGTCAAGAATACATAGTCTGCATAATTACTAAAATTTATTCAAAATAATTAGACCGCAACTGAAAGATCAGGAGAGAAGTAAACCAAAACTAATGTAGAAGAAACCCTATCTACATTGCTTTTCTTAAACTGTGTTATACTTAATAAAGTTCAAATATGTTTACCAGAAATATCCTATACATCAGAATAATCTGCTAAAACATGCACACAGAAATTGTGATGATGTGTATTTTTCATTGCTTGCTTTATGACAGATTTAAATAACAAATACAGGAAAGCATATTTTTATGTGGCTTCCAAGCCTTGTACTAAGTATGTTCCATGATGATTTGGGTCAGAATCCAAGCCAGCCTCCTTCAAGAGAAATGGAGACATGCTTACCAATTCCACTATGAATTGAACTTAGTCTGAAGAAGGCTTTGGCCACTGTCTCTAAATCAGTGGAGATGCTACATGGGCAGTGTGCTTTCTTCTATGGGAAAAATATAGAAATACAGTGGTTATTAATTTATGTCTTTATAGTCAGATGATTGGCTAATCAAGCTGATAAAATGCAAGTAAAAGAGCAATAAGGAAACATTGAAAAAGATCATGTGCCACATGCTCTGGCTGTAGTAAGTAGCAAATCCAAACTGTGCAATCATAGTCTTCATTGATGGAAAAAAATAATTGTGGGGGGTATACATTACCTTGAGTGTAATCACAGCAGACACCACTGTTGACATTACATAGCAATATTCTATTAAAGCATGTAAAAAGGGACAGTCCTTGGTACCCAAACTGTTGCAGAGTTTTAAAATTGGTCTTCTATTTTGTGTGATTCAGTCAGTTTTGGTTTAAAAGAGAAACTTAATTTGACTGCAGCCAAGAAGGAGTTTGGATATTTCTTGCTGTTCATTCACTTTATAAAATCAGCCATCTGGAAAAACTGCTTTTCATGGTTTCCGATAAAGGAAAAACTGAGTTAAAGAATTACCATGTCAGAATTTCCTGTAGGAGAAATGAAAATGAAATATAAGTTCCTAAATTATTTGATTATTAACTCTGAGATTTACAAACTTCCTGGTAAATGTTGCATTGCAGGAAGCGATCAGACCAGCAGCAATTGTTGCATGGTTTTTGGTGAAAGCAAATTGCCTTTGTATAAATTATGTGACCAGTCCACTTTGCCATGGGAGAGGTTGCTGGGCAAGGTTCTTTTGCTATCATTCATAAATATTTTCCTAATGTCATCCATAAAGTAAAAAATAATGCTTCTATAGGAAACCTTTCCAAATTGAGATGCCAGGGCTGAGTTGCCTCAGTTCCAGATGCTTTGCCAGAATTGTAGTTCCCTGAGAGCTGGAACTCATGTGTACCTATGGAAGCAGATGAAAGAATAGGAATAAAAATAAGATACTGAACTACTTCTGCTGCTACATGCCTGAAAAAAAAATCATCAAAGTTATTATAATTATGACTGTTATTAGATATCATGTCTGGTTTCTGCATATTTAAATTCTTAGAGAGGTGAAACTTAGGCACTTAGAGATCCCAGGGGAATAATTGCAGAAATGATGACATATTGCACTTTTTGAACAAATTTCAATACCAAAGCTGCGTTCTGCGTACTTACATTTCTTCTTAATTATACTTGGATGCAGGATAGATAATAATTTTCTGTCTTACAAATCATGTAGCCAATTAGTCTTGTAGATCATGAATACGCAATGGCCTAACTCATTAAATGGAATTTTCCTTCTCTGTTGTTATGGCAAAAGAGTCTGCAAATAGCTGAGTATTATATCTCTCTGGGAGCTCAGCCTTGGCGAAGGCTACAGATCCATAACTTCAGCAAGTGGACAATTACTGGATTTACTTTTCATTCCTTACAGTGTGCCATGCTAGTCTTGTGTGTATGCGTGTGTCTGTCTGTCTGTCTGTCTGTATGCATGTACTGTAAATTGGTATAGGTGGTTTTGCGCCTCTAAACTTCTCAATTTAAATGCCATCATTCTGATGCTATGTAATTCATTTCGTCTTGATTATTTCCCATTCCCAAGAAATTCTGAGTTCAGACTCTTTCCCTCTGGCCCACTGAGACATGCAGACTTGACCTCTTTTGGCTTCTGGAAGCAAAGCTGAGAAAAACTGGCAACATGTCTCTGAAGAAACCACATCTTATATCAAATGATCTAACCCAGGTGTTCTTTTCTTCTTCCCTCTGATTTTCAATTTTTTTTTTCCTGCATAATATGCTTACCATTCTGTCATCTCAGAGTATGAAGATAACACATGTAACCTGGTCTGCCTCACAGGCAGGGTTCGTAGCCACGATGAAGGCAGACTATTATGACCAGAGAGATCCACAAGACAACTGAGAAATTAGTTACAGCCCCAATATTTCTCTGAGCCAGTTTTGCTAAGTTTCTGTGTTGGTAAATAATAAACAGGATGTGAAGACATGACTTGGTGATTGGCCTTCGTGCTTTTTCAGTGGTAGCATGTTTGCCCAAGAGTAAATGTTGCTTATCTAACATTCTCTGCTCCTCTTTTTCATTATATTGCAGGACATCTGAGACTTGAGCAGATGTTGAGTTGTGATTTTTAAAAGCTGTGGTCTCAAATATTATAGAAGTAACAAAACCTCTCAGTTTAGGGGAAATGTTTTCTGTAATCTTATTACTGGAGTAGTTATCTTGAGTGCCTTATTGACATGTTTTGCAAAACTACTGTGGGGATTTAAATTTAATGACTGTTTTCTTGAAAATAGTGATAAAAAAACCACCCTGCTGTTGGTTACACTGGATTTTTACTAAAATTTGAGTATTGTTTTATCTGTTGTTATTTGTAGTTGCAGACTTCCCAGAGAATGGAGATTCTAAAAGTGTTATAAACAACTCTTAAACACCTCCTAAAAGTATGCAAAAATATACATATTTCTACTATTAGGATTCTGTTACTGAGTCTGGAACTGGGGATTTTGCCCCTTCTGCTGTGTACCCCACAACTTGTGGTTCTGGCTATCAGACTTTGGGGAAATGAGCTAGGTGCTTGCTGTCTCCCTCACTTTCCAGGGTTTACTTTGGGAATGTTCCAGATAAATGCACGAGAAAGGGAATGCAAGAGTTATTCTGTGAAATCTTTCTTTTTAGCAAGTGGAGAATTATATACTTATCTCATATGTATACATATGCATGTACATATATATGCTGTAATGCAGATGTGACATTGCTGTTCCTATTTGTTAAAAGTTCTATTTTCTACAATTTACTGTAAGAGAAAATCCTAATCTTATCTTTTACTGCTTGTACCTTAAAGAAGTAAAACATTATTATCCTCTCTGAATCTTGCAGAGTTCACATGGAACTTATGATGGAGATGTTAAAACTTGTGTGTAACAGCTGCCTTTAGGATATGGTGGGAATCTTTCAGGGAGAAGGGAGGGGAATGTAACTTTGCTCATGGATATTAAAACTGTTGAGTAAAATGTGAAACCTTCTTGAGTCTCAGAATAGTAATAAAAGCAGTGAATAAATTTAACTTGCTAGACAGTTGCAATTTGCAGAATGCATTTGTCAAATAGTTTGGAAATAATCTAGAGCACATTTAGATGGAAAAAGTAGAAATGGGTTCAGACTAAAAATGTGAGCTAATTGTCCTTCTCGGTTTGCAGAAATTAAGCTATACACTTCATCATAAACTCAGTAATGGACAAGACCAGAGGGAGATTTTGAACTTTGGGGAAAGTGATATTTTGTTCCATATCTGTTTGGTCCCTAAATGCAACTGATTTGTCTTGGAGTCTTCAATTTAATTTTTAAAATGGGTGCTTCCTTTGAACAGTGTTCATGCATTTGGAAGTTGAGAAGTATAATTGAAAGACAGATCTTTCCAGACCAGTGTTTGTTTTGCCTTTAGTATGTTGGGTCTGTGAGTTGTTAAAAACTCTTCTTCTTGAGTCTTTGTAATATGCACTGTTGGCTCCACTACCATGGAAATTGGTGTGATCTCATGAATACAGTGAAATGAGATCACCAAGAGGGAATAAGGACATGCCCCAGCATTGTAAATAACAAGTGTGACTTTTAAAGAAAAGACACCCTTTTGGGGATTGATTGCAGATTTTTTTCATTAGGTGGATGAAAATGTAATGGACTTTGTTCATATCTGACATTTTTATTTGCTATCATGTTAATAAATAAAAATCAGTTTATATTTCTGAACTGGATTTTCATGTTAGGCCCCCCTTTTTTTTTCATTACAGCCCCTCAGTTCTATCCCTCGATTCTTTTAACCCTGTCAGTTTTAGGCTCTTGTAAGTAGGGTTTTCTCTACTCTGCTTTCTTACTGATACTGAGTTTCCTCAGAGAATTTGATTATTTCTGCTAAGGGCATTTGTTTGTAGCTGAAGTTCTCACAATAATTCGTTGGTTTTAATTTCTGAGTCATCTCTCATCTTCTATTTTCCAGGTTGGTGAGAGGCAGAGAGTTCTGGTAACAGAAGAATCCTTTGACTCCAATTACTATGTTGCTCACAATCCTTTCTATGAGCAGGTACAGTTAAATAAACCCAAATAACATATTTTTGCTTTATCTTTGCTTTCTGATAATCTCAACAACACAGTGTGTCAGGATAAAAAAAAACAATCTAGTAGAGAAATAAGAAGCATTTTCCAGGAAACATGTGACCGTCAAGACTTCTTTATGAGATAATTTGTTTTATTATTGTGTTGTAAATATAATTTACCTGAAATTATGTTAAGAAATACACAGTGGCTATTTGAGTGTACAGTGTGGTTTAAGAAGCTGTTAATTGTTGCAGTAATTTTAATTTTAATGTCCCCAAAGCACTGATTTCTGAATAGTTGAGTCATGACAATTTGTATAAATCTTTCTGAAAAGGGTTGCAGGCAGTGCAATTTGAAAAAAAAATCTAACAATAGAAGAGTCAGACACTTTTTTAGATTAACACTTCAGCATGGCATATTGTGTTTCATAGAATCATACAATGGTTTGGGCTGGAAGGGGCCCTGCTGGCCACCCCTCTTTGGATGCAGCCCAGGAGACAATTGGCTTTCTGGTCTGCAAGTGCACATTTCTGGCTCATGTCTGGCCTCTCAACCACCAGCACCCCCAAGTCCTTCTTAGCAGGAAAGTTCTCACTCTCCATGAATTCTTCTCCCAGTCTGTACTTATGTCTGGGATTGCCCCAACCTGGCTGCAGCACTTTGCACTTGGACTTGTTGAAACTCATTATGATTTTGTGGGTTCACTTCTCAGGCTTGTGTAGGGCCCCCTAAATGGCATACCTTCCTTCTAGTTTTTTTAAATTTCCTTCTGTGTACTTCCTGTAGATAAATTCTTGCCACACAAAAACATTATCTTTGAGCTGGGAAGGAAGCACATGCATCAATTTCACAAAATTGTTATTTTTGCTCAAAAGCTGGTGAGTTGCTTAAGACCAATAAAATTTGCTTTCCTGAATCATCATGATTTTATTTTATATTCTTAGAGCATTTTCTTGCACTAAGCTGTCTACAATTTGCTTTTGCTACCATTAGTTGTTCTGTTTTCTGAACCTAGGAAGATTATAGATGATGGCTGTGCCTTCTTCTGGTTTTGGCTTATGTTACAGAATTTATTAATTTGTTTTTTCTTAGTAGTAAGTAACATTACTATTCTTAAAATATCTGTTTCTGTTAGATATCTGAGTCACTAATTATTTTTCCTCGCTTTCTTTTTTATTTTCTTTGTTACATATCCAACTTCTAAGTCTTATGTATTGATGCTCCTTGATTTTGTAGTTTATCAGTCAGTTGAGCAACATAGTTTTCCACATAGAGATTAAAAAGAAATGCCTTGGGACTTTTTTGTTCATTGTTTTATGGAAGCTTAATTAATTAAATGAAAAGCAATATGTACGGGAAACAAAGTGTTGATTTTTTGTGTTGTGTTTGTACAGCACCTAATGCAGCTCATGATTTGAACTGGTAAAGAATTTACAAAATACCAATAGTCACGTAGGGACTCATTTTAAATTCTGTTAGGGAATAAATGCTTCCCATTAAGAAAATGCAAATCTTTTCCCTAAAATCTTTTGTGTGGCATGTTTCACAAGGATGGTATCCTACTGCTCACCCAGGTAAGCCCAAGAATCCATGCTCATAACTAAGATTAATAACAATAAATTGCATGATAGTAAATTGAAAACCACTCCAAAGTCTAACTATTATATATTATTTAAGCTGAAGCTTGGAGTCCTGGTATGATGTTCTGTTAACTCAAATAGTTATCAAATGTATTCTGTCTTCACTGAGCTCATCTGTACTGAAAGAATTTGCTATTAAACCCACATCAATACAGCTACACAGACAGACTTAGTGGCAGAGCTGCAGCTGACATTTGTGGAGGCTTAGGTGATACAGTTTACATTGAACAGAGTAGTCTAAAGTGACCAAAGAGGGCTTTGCCAGATCCACAGCCAAGGTGGGAGGTTCTGCTGGTTTAACTTAGTTTCTTAGAAATACTGTTGAGGATTTTTTCTTAACAAATACTTCAAAACATATCTGAGTGTATACCAAGCCTGGACACTTGGTTGTTTATGGTATCTCCCAGTTATTTTCATTTAACCTGTTTCTTTTTCTGAAGTTGGGTTTATATTTAGTTATTACCCTTTTTTCATGAGGAGATAGAAGATTTACAGAGGTTATGAGCCCAGTGTATGCTCAGCAAACCTAGTTTCCCTTTGATATAAATTGGCCCAAGATGAGTTACTTGGGAAGAACTGCGATCCAGTCACGTTGTAACACTCTCTGAGCATTAGGATCCCGACTTTGTGTTTGCTTATTAGTCTCAGCTTGCCTGCCTCTGAAAGGCAAAGATTTTGCGTTGCTTGGAAGATGCTTAGGCAGCTCAGCAAAATCCTAGGATCTTGAAGCTCTTACAGTCATGAACACTTCGAGCCTTCAGGAAAGAAGGGAAACCACTGGTGGTGATTTCCTCCAAGTGGGACAATCAGCAGTTCTGATAGGTGAAAATGGAGAGGCAGAGAAATGGTCTCCAAATATGCGCAGTGCAGGGTTTTTTTTCTCTGAAAGTCCTCTACACATGTAGTTCTAAAAATTAAGCCATTTTTAAGGATTTCAATTTCAGTATCAAAGAATCAAGATAAAAAGGTAAGATCTTTTCCTATGAAAAGCTCTACTTGTCCCTGGCAAGGCCACACCGTGAGTGCTGTGTCCAGTTCTGGGCTCCTCAGGACAAGAGAGACACAGGACTACTGGAATGGGTCCAGTGGGGGAGCAACAAAGGTGATCAAGGGACTGGAGCACCTCTCTCATGAGGAAAGGCTGAGGAAGCTGGGCCTGTTCATCCTCAAGAAGAGGTGACTGAGACAGGATCTCATCAATGTCCATAAGCATCTGAGAGGAGAGTGTCAGAGGATGTTTCCGGACTGTTCCTAGGTGGTGCCAAGCTGTAGGACAAGAGGCAATAGGCAGAAACTGATGCACGGGAAATTCCCCCTGAACATGAGGAAGAGCTTCTTTACTGTGTGGATGACCATGCACTGGGACAGATTTCCCAGAGAGTGTGTGGAGTCTCCCTCACTGGATAAATTCCAGAACTGTCTGGGTACAATCCTGTGCCATGTGTTCTACAATGACCCTGCTTGAACAGGGAGATTGGATCAGATCACCCTCTGAGGTACCTTCCAACTTGACCCATCCTGGGATTCTGTGTGTGGATAAACTTCAAGTAAATGTTGTTAAATAACATTTCATTGATGAAATGTTCATTATTAAATTTTGCATTGTAAACAGCGTAAAAAACTGTAATTTCATCAATAAATTACTTTACTTTTCTTTTTCAACTGCTTACCTATTTTAGAGCCATTTAAAATCCATTTATTCTTCCATTCCAAAAAATGTTCCTCCTTTATTTTGGGCTCTTTCATTTTTTAAATGCATGACCTAGGAACATCTGTTTTGTGCTTTTTTGTGAAATGGGACTGTCTGATATCACGGTTGTGCAAATTCAGGAAAGAGTGGCATTAGTTGCTGACCCAAGAAACAGTCATCTATTTTTACAGGCATTCATTGTCAATCATGCATCTCAGCAGCAAAGGATCTGCACAATCAAAATAAAAGCTTGTACAAAGAGAGAAAAGGGTATACTTTCTGTCCTGAAGCCTTTACAGACTCAGAAAAATTTTTTTAATAGTGTCATGGGACAGAGATGAAAATGGGAAGCTTTACAATAGTCTGTTAGAATTGTGTCATACAAATGTCCTTGGGAACTGTTTGGGTCTGGATTTAAAAGCTGCAATTCAGGCCCAACTTTCATATCAATCAAAAAGCATGATTTAAGGTTGGAGTTGAAAAAAGCTGAGCTAACACTGCAAAGCTCTTGTAGAATGCAGGCTGGAGATCTTACTGGTCAAGTGTGCTAGGGGCTGTAGTGTACACTGGTGATTAAAATGTTTAAGTTTTAGGATTTTCTCTGATGTTTATCAAAAATATGTTTTCTGAGTGGATACTAGAGACTCTAATGTTCCTTGTGATATTTAGTAACTATGTCTTTATTTTATTTGAAAGGTTCTTGTGCCAAAGGATCCTCTGTTAATGGGTAAGATGGTAGAAGTGGATATTTATGAAGCTGGGAAACATTTTATGAAGGGGCAGCCAGTATCAGATGCCAGAGTTCATACTGCATCCATCAACAGACCTCTAGCAAAAGGAGAAGTTTCTGGTTTAACAGAGGTGAGTAAAAGACATTTTCTGCTTTACTACACTGGCAAATCCACAGCTGTTCAAGCAAAATGATTCCATGCTATGTATCTGTTATAATTTTATAGTTCCCATTTATATATGCATGAAGCTTTAATCTTTTCTGACAGATTGAAATCTGAATTCAAAATATGTTTTTGCTGATGCCTGTAACTTTGCTTTGCTGACTAGAAAGGCAATAATACACTTGTTTCTTGTTTCTAGATGCAAGATGGGGAAAGAACTTACTAGAATTGAAAAGATTAAACACCAGTAATTATATAATTCAGTATATTTCACTTTAGTGGAAGGATGTATCAGTTTAATTTTTTTTTACAAAGCTGCTGTGAAAAAATATGTATTGATGACATATCTGTTAAAACAGGTCTAAACACTATTCAAAGATTCAAAATTAATTGATGGGTAGAGGTGCAGAATATTTACAATATATATTTTGGGAAAAAGGTCAACATCTGATTTAGTCATGTAAAAAAAATGAAACTCTTTTAAAAAGAGATCTGATTCTTATTTTACGGCTCAGTAGATATGGCTGTTAGCCAAGTATTCTCATACATTTCATGGAGCTCTAGTTGTAAAAACTGATGGAGTGTGAAATGAAAATGTGTATCACATTTCTAAGCATCATTTGATGTCCTTTCTCCAGCACTGTTGTTAGGATCTCCAACAAATATGTAGCACATGGGAGAAGGATAATTAGTAGCTTATCAGCCACTGCTGCTTTTACAGTAAATTGCTGATAAGTATTAAAGTATATATATGTCCTTTTTTATGTTCTAAGTAGTCACATTTAAGGTACATCATCAAGACATACCTGAGGTGACCAGTGTTAAGCTAAGCTCCTTGGTCTTTTGAATAAGCCTGGCTGTGGAAACATAGAGCAGCAATAATGCACTCCCTGTAATGCACCTACTGTAATGTGTTCAGCAGGTCATGACATCTAAGCACAAACACATTACTAAGCTCTCCATTAATATTGTCTGTGTGTATGTGTATATTGGCCTGATAAGGGTCTGTAAGAGATAAAAACCAGCCAAAACCGTACAATTGTCTGGTTGGACTATGTGGCTATTAAAACACGGATGATTTTTTCATCAGAATGTTTTTTTTTAAATAATCTCCTGGAACAGAACCAAGACTGTCATTAAACCTGAGTATGTGCTGCCAGAAACTTGTAGATGGGGACAAGGAAGCAGACTATTGACTGATTTTTTTTAATGTTAAAATGAGAGGTAAAATTATTAAAATAAAGGATACTGATAATTTCCATAGGGACTCATTGAAATATATAGATCTTGTCCTGCCCTTTGGATAGGCACAAAGAAGCACATGGAATTCCCCCATAAATGGCTGCAGTAAGCAAATGATAAGGCAAAATGCTTTTCATGAGTTTTGTGGTTATCAGTCCTCCTTCAAGGGAGTATCTTCTATATGACTGGTCCACTGGAAATGTTAGGAACTTTTGTTTAATGGAAAAAAATAGTATCTCAGTAAATGGAACATCTTTGGTACATAGAAGCTGCAGCTGAAAGCTTTTAATCACACTTGGCCAATGTATAATATATGCAACATGAACTGAAATTCTTAGAGGGAAGTTCATCCTGAAAAGTCATACATATAAATAGAAACTCGTGAACTTTCTTTAGGTTTCCAGAAAAAAAAAGTCAGTTTGCCACAAAAGTTACCTTGGATTTCTGGCTGGCTGCAAGATGCAATTTGGATTGCTCTGTTTGGTTAGACTGTGGGGAGACACTTCCTGCTGCATGTGCTCAAGACTTATAGTTCCAATCAAAGATGCTTTGAGCTAGATAAAAGGGGCAACATATGAGCTTTGTAGTTTGTTACATGCACAGATGGCAGGTAAAAGACTAAGGAGGCAACTCAGAACTGATGAATTCAGATTTCTCAAAAGTAGCAAAATATCTTGGATCTTTAACAAGACCCTAAGTGTCTCCACTAGTTTTTCTGCAACTTGCAGAACTAAAATCTTGGATAAATTTTTCATTGTGCACACGTATGAGCAAGAATTAATGTCTGCTTATTATTAATGGTGTTTTTATTAACTTACATGGGACTCGGTAAAAGTGTTTCAAAATCCATCATAGCTTACTTCTCTCTAATGAAGAACATTCACAGAAAGAGTGAAAACTTTTGAAACTGTAGTTTTTAAGGAAATTAATCAATTGAGAGCACCATCATGTGAAGATGTCAAAGCAAGTCGGAAACTCATCCTAAGCAAGAAGGTGCTTCTAGAGTTGCTATGAGGAGAAGTACCTCCAAAGAATCAAGGCTTATCTTCAGTCGTGTGCTCTCTTTCTCATCTGATACATTACCCTCAATAATTTTTCTGACAAATTCAGAGTGAGCACCACAAGCAACATGGGGGTCCAAAGAAACAGTTGTAGACCAATTTTTTACCTTTTTGGCTGCATGACTCTGGCAGCAAATTGGTCCAAAGAAATAAAAGAAGTAGGTCGCCAACTGGAGTCAACAGATTTGACTGAAAAAGAGAGAATGCAAAATGCAAAACCACAAAGGACAATTTACAGGGTCCATAAAATATTCACACATTCTGTCTGTGACAAGTAAGGAGGGAAATATATATGTAATTAATTCAGAGTATTTCTAGCATTTCATGCTTTTTCAGTGTATGAAGAACACGGCTAATACATATACCCATGAATGTACTAATTATGTAGAATGTCTTACAGTTACTATACTCTTTAAGGAAAAAACTGTAACCAAGTAGGTGGTGGGAAGGGCGTCTTAACATTCAGCAATGTTAGGCTCTGTGGCAGAATTTGGGATGGGAAGGACAGAAGAGTCTTGGAGTCAGCAGCTTGGGTTAAAAACCTGTCAAAGCAATCAGACTTAGTGATTGCTGTGGACATACTAAGTAGTAAAATGCACAAGTATTTGCCAGGATTTTTTTTTTTTTTAACTTTGGCATGAATTTTCTTATAAAAGCCACTTATAAGTTATAATTTAAATAAAAGCCACTTATAATTTTCTTATAAAAGCCAGGGAGTGATGTCTCCGAGTGGCACCATTTTACAGGATGGCTGTTTGGGAGGGCAAACACATTTGGAAATTTCAGTTGACAGATTTACTGTAGACTTACTTGGGTTTAAGATGGACAGTTGCTGATTCAGTAAGAAAACCATATTTAGAAGTCATACATTGCGGAGGATATATAGATAAAAGTTGAAGTCAATAAAGCATGAACATGTGTAAAGGCATTTTTGGATTTGGTTCTAGTAAATCTAATAAAGGATATATGTGAACTGGACATTAAAAAGTAGTGACAGTAACCTTAAAATGAACATTCAGACAAAATAAACCTGTCACAAGTTACTAACTGCAATTACAAATATCAGTGAAAAAGTATTTCAAAGCTCTGATCAATACTTAGTTCCTTCAAGTTTCACAAGAACAAAAAGAAGATGTAAATGCGGTAGATGTTACATCCTTTCATTGAGGTAGGCTTGAAGCTGACAAAGCACTGAGTGTGGTTCAGCATTTTGAGATTCAGAAAGCAATTTACCATGTTTTCTATGTTCTTAAGCACTCTGGTAAACATGTCTTTGAGGATTTGGAGGTGGGTTTGCAATGCACATAGTGTTGAGTATATTATCTTTGGATAATATTTTTGAAAAGTCAGCAGTGTGTGTCAACAGTCTGAATGTAATCTAATTTAGAAAAAAAACAATTTTAATATTTGTATTAGTTTTATTTGGCCATATTTAGGGATCTTGACTGTTTCTCAGCAGCATATAATAAAATACCTAATAAATGTATCCTGTTTACAGACAAATGTTTGCCCAAACTAATCATTGAAAAAAAAGTAAGAATCTGAAAGAATATGATCTCTTGTTAGACCAGAAATAGAGTATGTTATGCTTCTGTACTCCAAAAATAATTCTGGTTGTTTACGTATGTTCTGTGACTAGAGGAAAAATACTGCAAGATGAGAAATACATGAAGAAAAGACCAAAGGGCTGAGGGATAAAAATAAAAGGCTGGCTACCTGCCAGAGTTGCAATGCATTGCCAGAATCAAAGCCCCGTAAGTCTGAGGATCTTTGGTGGGAAATTTTAATCAGATGGAAAATTAAGGCAAGAGAAAAAAAATAATTTTAACAGGCTGTTTAATCCCCAGTCATGATTATTTTATGTTCACAGTTCATGTTTCTATAATGCATCTATGAATGAATTTCTTTTCAAACAAATACAGGCACATATTTCTGTTTTCTTTTTTCTATTGGTTTCTGTGATGATATTCTCCATGTCTAACACTTCCCCTGTGAATGGCATCTGCTGGGAGCCACCATTTACAATGTCTCCTTTTGTGAGTCTGGGACCTTGGTCCGCATCTCTGTGGCTCCCAGGCCTTGGAAATACTCAGAGTTGGCCTGTTAAGCTAATAGCTATTCAAGCCATTGGGCTCTTTGGATGAAATGAGGAGTGAGCCACTGATTTTCAGTTAGCGACCAATTATTTGGTCATTCTGCTTGTTCCCGTTTTCTTTCCCGTCCTCCCTGCATTTTAGTTGCAGTAGGTTATTGTGGCATTATGCTTCTGGATACTAATGAAGAAGATTTATGTTACTGGTCTTACATTTAGCCGCAAATATTTTCTAGTTACATGAGCAAAAACATCACCCAACCTTTTTTTATGATGTTAAGAAACGGGAAAGACACATATATCAAACACTTCTTTATAGCCTGCCAGAAAGAAAATTCACAAAGCATAGCTTAAAGGAAACTCTCTGATCTCGGGTAGAAAGGGTGCTTCACTTGCAGGCAAAATAAAATGGAGAAGAGGGCAGAAAATATCTTCTGCTGGAACAGAAATGAAAGAAATCATGTCAGAATTAAGATCTCTGCATTGGAAACTTCCTTTAAGGACTTGGAAGGAAATGTGGAAGATGTGCATTAATTAATAAGTACAGTTTTTACATGTGCTGGAGTTTCAAAG